AAAAAAAAAAAAAAAAAAAAAAAAAAAGAAATAAAAAACATTAAAACTTAAAAAAAAAAATCTTCTAGACTTAAAAAAAAGACATATAATAATTAGAATTTAAAAGTCAATGGGCAAGTTTAGCAGTAGATCAGACATGCTGAAGAGAAAATTAGTAAATTGGAAGCTAGAACCAAATTCATTTATTCATATAAAAGAGAAACATGGAGGACAGAAGGAGCTCTAATGTGTATAATTAAAATTCTAAAATAAGAAGAAGAAAAAAGGACAATACTTTAAGCAATATTTTAAAAAGAAAAGATATTGACACATAAGATAATGAAAATTCAGAGTACCACAAACAAAGAAGTAACTTTACAAGCTGTACAAGAGAAAGGGCTGACTACCTCCAATGAAACAACACTTAGCTGATGGGTAACTTTGCAACTGTAAAAATATAAGCCAAAAGACTGTGCTTGAGATATGCTGAGAGAAAATGACTGTTAACCTAGAATTATTTAACCAGTGGAAATATCTTCTAAAAAGGGGACTGAAATAAAGTCATTTTTAGGTGAACAAAAACTGATTTTTCCATCATAGACCCTCACTAATGGAAGTTATAAAGGCTCTCCTTCAAGAAGAGGAAAATGATCTTAGGTAAAGATGAAGGAAGAAGGTGATAAGCATATGTGGATAAATATAAACCACTAGTAACCAATGTCATTGCTCTTTCTTTCTAAATTCACTCATTCATCTGTTCAATAACACATATGTTCAAATACCTATTATGTGCCAAACACTATTCTGGGTTCTAGGGACATAGTGGGGTTTTTACTGCATTTCCACATTTCTTGGAAACTCCTCTGGTGTTGACACTACTGACATTGACTCTTCCTTCACCAATTTCCAGTGCCTTGGAGAAGGGAGAGAGCAATGAGAGTGTGCATAGCCTCACAACATGCAAGGTTGTTAGGATGGCCCAAGCTTAGTGTCTTCGTTTTGTTTTGTTTTATTTTGTTTTTAAGATAAAGCAAGGGTGGCTGGACTCTCCTCTCAGTCATAAATGATCCCACTGAGTTACAGCAAGTTTGAATAATCAAGGAGAAAACATTTGTTTCTTCCCTTTCCAACAAAGTCTATCAGAGAGCAACAGTGCTTCCTTAACTAAAAGCAAGTCAGAATGTTAGGTATAGGGTTTCCTCAATAAAGATGTGGACTTGGTAGCTCTCTACCTTTTTGAATAAAAGGGGGGAGGGGATGAGAGGGAAGGAGTTTTCCAAAGGAATATCTAAGAAAAGGGGCATACAGTCTATTAACAGCCTTAACAGGTTTAATCATTAGGGAAATGCAAATCAA